GCCGGGGGGGAGGGGCGGCTCCCGCGCCGCGTGCTGCAGCTGCCGCGGCTTCATTGTGTCCCCGCGGTGGCTCCGCGGGCTTCCTAGGGGCTAGAGGACTCCGGGTCGGGCCCCGGGTTCTCCGGACTCTGTTCTGAGCTCGGGGCGGAGCGTCGACCTGACAGCTGCTCGGGCGGGACTTCAGCTCTGTTAGGTCGAGGGGACACGCTGTCCCCTGTTCCAAGTAAGTCGCCTCGGCGGCGTTGGGACCCTCGCGACTTGCTCAGCAAGTCTGTTGCTTGCGCTAAGGGTTTTCCCGGACCCTTTTCGCGACCTCACTAGCTCCAGGACTGACGGCGTCGCTCGAGTTACTGCTAAACTCTCTTTAAATGCTTCTGTTTCTAGTAAAATGTTTATTGGAGGCTTGAGCTGGGATACGAGCAAGAAGGATCTGACTGAGTACTTGTCTCGATTTGGGGAAGTTGTAGATTGCACCATTAAAACAGACCCTGTCACTGGGCGGTCAAGAGGATTTGGATTCGTGCTTTTCAAAGACGCTTCTAGTGTTGACAAGGTAGGAGCCGGCCTGGTATGGCTGCTCTGGGGCCTTTTGCAGATTGTTCTGGGCTTGGTTGTGCGCTACTGTCTGGTTAAGTTCATCTGTCTTGTAGGTTTTGGAACTGAAAGAACACAAACTGGATGGCAAATTGATAGACCCCAAAAGGGCCAAAGCTTTAAAAGGGAAAGAGCCCCCTAAAAAGGTGTTTGTGGGCGGACTGAGCCCAGACACGTCTGAAGAACAAATCAAAGAATATTTTGGAGCCTTTGGAGAGGTGTGTGGCTGTGTTTTACAATTGTTACATTTATGTGCTTGTAAAAAGTTCACCCCTGTCCGTTTTGTTTAGAGCAAATCCCTGTGTCCAGCTAGGATACGGTTGAGTTAAGGCTGGGTCCTTTCCAGGGGCTATACCCTTGCACCTTATTTGCTGGTTTCTGTGCTATAATAGAAACCAATAATTTTGTTTTGGCCACAGCGTGAATGCTTTAATGTGGCCAGTGCATTAACTAGTGGCTCGCGTTGTCCTCTCAATGCTTCCCACGTACAGCAGATCCCTGGGCTGGTCATGAAACACGGCTGTCTATACCGACGTCATCCGATCAGAACAACGGGTTAAGGTGGAGCTTGGAAAGAACCTGTGGCATTCAGACCCCTTGGTGGCTTTTTACCGTTACTGAGTGATCTTCAGTGTGTATCTTGATTCCAGATTGAAAACATCGAACTTCCCATGGATACAAAAACAAATGAAAGAAGAGGATTTTGTTTTATCACATACACAGATGAAGAGCCGGTTAAAAAATTGTTAGAGAGCAGATACCATCAAATTGGCTCTGGGAAGGTAAAGCCATTTAATTGCATTAGGTGGCCATGTTGAGGGTTTAGTGGAACAATTTCTCCGTCTGTTTGGGAAGGAGAAAATGGCTTGAGTTTAGAACATCCGTGAACACTGTTGGTGCTTTTTCACTTGCTTGCAGTGTGAGATCAAAGTCGCACAACCCAAAGAGGTCTACAGGCAGCAGCAGCAGCAGCAGAAAGGAGGGAGAGGCGCTGCCGCCGGTGGCCGAGGCGGGGCTAGGGGGCGCGGCCGAGGTGAGGCTGGGCTCTTGGGAGTGCTCCTGGCTGTGCTATGCCCTGCTGAGCATGGATAGGCCCAGAAGAGAGCAGAGCTAGGCTGAAACGGAGCTGTTGCAGCAGGCAGGATGCTCACCTTAGTGGGGGAGGGGGTTGTTTTTAATGAGCTTATTATTATTAGTTTCCAAACCTGTTGAATGTGGCCAAATGGACAGTGAGTATCATCACTGATAGGAAACGATGTATGCAATTGCATGGTGCACCATGGTGGGGCAGGCTCTCTTGGGTAGGAGTCGTTGTTTTAAGCACAGCAGCCTACCTGTGTTTAGCTTTAGTGGAAAATGCTGATTTTTCCCTTAATTTAGGAAGCTTGATATTGGCACAATTGGACTTTCTGCCCCCTTTTTATAAAAACTGGAAAAATCCTTGCTCAAATAGATAGCAACATGTATGTCCATTCTGCCTGTTAAGATTTGCAGAGTGAGGGACAAGAGCACATGGTTTTGTGTTAGGATTGGGGGTCAGAAGTTGTTTCCTAACAATCATTGTGCATTGTTTCAGGTCAGGGCCAAAACTGGAACCAAGGATTTAATAACTATTATGATCAAGGATATGGAAATTACAATAGTGCCTATGGTGGTGATCAAAACTATAGTGGCTATGGCGGATATGATTATACTGGGTATAACTATGGGAACTATGGATATGGACAGGGATATACAGACTACAGTGGTAAGAATATTTACCTTAATTTTATAAACCCATGGTGTTGAAATTCAGTGCTAAAGTCCACTCCCATTCTGAAGTGTGTGTGTTGGCTTTCCATCTATTAAAGTGTTGAGAGTGAAGCTCTTGAGGTGTGTTACAGTCAGGGTGATGATACGCATGTAGAGGCAGACGGTATGGTGGTTATAAGTGTACTGGGGCATGTATGACCTGTGACTAGTTTATAATGGCTGCCAAAATGTCTTAATGTTCTTTAGCATGCAAAGATTTACACATTTTATAGTTTCTTAATGTTTGTAAAGAAATCATGTCACAGAAGGCTGTCTTAATGGAATTTCATCTTTTCAAAATAGGCCAACAGAGCACTTACGGCAAGGCATCTCGAGGGGGTGGCAATCACCAAAACAATTACCAGCCATACTAAAGGAGGACCTTGGAGGAAGCAGGTGTGTACAGGAGTGCAAGGAGCCATGGAAACATCTGATCTAATTTAAAGATCAATAGACAAATGAAAAATAAGTTAAAACAAAATATTATGTAGCTGCTTTTACTAAATTGTTGATTTTAAAATTGCTTTTTAAGCCTGTTTTGCCTAAAGTGTCTATAGATCTTTAACTTTAAAGTCTTATCTCACTTTCTTTAGTATTGCAGAAAAACTTAAGAGTTTTTCTGTTTGCTTTTGTGTACCAGGTGGTCTAGAGGAATAATTAAACTTTTTTAGAACTATTAACAGGTAAAGTACTGAAATGGGTACAACTTAAGGAAAACAAGAATGTTGTCTTCTAACTCTGACATTATACCTTGTTTGTACCCGCCAGCGGGAACTTCATTGCAGGCCGTGTGTCACCCTGACCACGTCTATCTCTGGGGGTCGCACGTTGCGGGCAGAGCGCAAGGCATACACCAGAAAACGCTGTCCTGTGGTATGGTCTCTTCCAACTTCATGTACCAGCGTAAAGATTAAAGTGGAAAACTTCAGACTTTGGCTTCTTTTTTAATCTTTTTGGAGATTAAGTGTCTAAACTTAACTTAAATGGTTTTTTGCAGGAGTTAAAGTACATAAATGCCTTTTTACAGCTTAATCATTTTGGTCTTCTGTTTAGTGTTGTATTTCAATTGTGGAGCCTCATTTTAAGTGTTCATTCTTTAAGATTTAATGCTTGCTTTTTCTTTTTATAGCTAATAGTGAAATCTACAAACCAAAACAAGAACTTTTAAATCTGGGATATAAATTAAAGATCATATGCACAAGTCAGTTCATGTTTTTACAGTATAATGAGTCTGAAATACTCAAGCTTATAGCATTTTACTTGGCTTACTAGAGATGCTTCTAGTAGACCCCAGTCTAGCACAGTTGAACTTGTGAATGTGGGAAGATTGCATTCCTAAATCCTTTTCTGAATAGATCTGATTTAATATCATTTGGGAACTCCAGGGTGAGTTTAATTGCCCAAACTGCACTTTGCCAATAAATATGCATATGATCTTTAATTATTGAAGAAAATAAAGTGAGGACTTAAAAGAATTCATGAAAGTGGACCTTTAAAAAGCTTGTCAGAGCTGCACAAATCTAATTGCTATTTTGTTTTTGTTTTTAGGAGGAGATGTTTTAAAAGTAATCCATCTTGCAGGACGACATTGAAGATTGGTCTTCTGTTGATCTGAGATGATTATTTTGTAAAAGACTTTCTAGTGTACAAGACACAGTTGTGTCCAACTGTATATAGCTGCCAACTAGTTTTCTTTGTTTTTACTTTGTCCTTTGCTATCTGTGTTACAACTCAGTGTGGATTTGTGTTTATACACATTTTTATTTGTATGATTCCATGTTAAACCTCAAATAAATGCTTCCTTATGTGATTGTTTTTCTGCGTCGGGTACTACATAGCTCTGTAAAAATGTAATTTTAAATAAGCAATAATTAAGGCACAGTTTATCTTATAGGGAGTTTGGTCCATAGGGAGAAACTGATCTTTTATGAATAGCTACAGTGTCACCCTTTCCCCCCAATTTGTAGGTGTATTCTGTGCTCCTGAGGCTTTATTTCCCTGCTGCTAAAGCTTCCGCCACTCCTTCGAATGGTGTTCTTTCCCCTCTAGATATCTGAAGGTCATTGTTGTAAGACTAAGCCATAAGGTTATGATAGTGGTGACTTTCTAGTGGGCCATGTTTCTCTGGATCAAAAGAGGTTATTATAGCTCCTTTTGCTGTATTCCCATCTCTGCAAAGCCATTTTTCAGTTGCTAATTACTTCTTTGACTTTGGTTTACTTGAAAAAGTTTTAATCATAACACCATAATTTTAATTCTTTAAAAATCCAGATACAGGAAAGAGTACTGTAAAGCTCTGTAGTGGGAGCTAAGCATTGGAAATAGTTACAACAAGGATTTGGGCCAATAGGTGTGAGATCCATTAAAGTTTGGTCAGAAGTTAGATTAAAATTTGAAGTAGTGGCAGAATAGTCATTCTGTTGGTATTGTCACAGCAACAAGACAAAATATTTCCAATTTGGGCATTTTGAGGGAGCTATGCTACAGTTAACTGTTAATGCTGTGTGAGTTTAGAGAAAGTCATGATCGTAAAACTTACTTTAAATGCAATTAGTGCATGAACTGAGTAGTTAAGCACTTCATATTCAGACAAAGGAATAGTGGAGAAAGTATCTTAAGTCCAAGGTCTGTGTTAATGTTGATCCAGGTGTGATGAGTCCTGTCATTACAGTGGCTCTTCCTGGTACATTGAAAGTTTCATATCTAGGTTTTAGAAGACCTGGGTAGAGACAAGTTTTGAATTTTGCATTCAATGTAGTTAATTGATTTAGGGCTGTTTGTCTCCCTGTTAGCTACTGGGATTGGTGGCATACATGTTCACATGCAGAGTAGTTGATGTCACAACCATGTTTTTTATGCTGATGAACCTGCCTCTTAATTTGGTGCCTACAACTTCCTTTGTTCCAATGATATTGCCTGCTGGGCTATCTTGAGTTACGCTCTTGGCTGTTTTTTGCTCCTGTTTTGCAACTTGACCTTACACCTGGGCCAAGTACAAATGTTGGTTGGTGCAAGGGTTTTTGTTTATTCTTTCAACGTGCAACTTTAGGGAATGGAAGGACGTTCATCTTAAGTTGTGTTGTCAGGTGCAGTGTCTAGGGTAGTGAATCCTGTACGTTCAAATTTGTGGTTAGGTGATAAGTTGACATTGAGATTGTCCTTTTCACTGATCAAAAATGAATAAAGCCTTTTTGAACAAAATAAAGCAAACTCTTTAATTAAGTCTTGATAAATGTAACAGAAAATACACTGTTTAGAGATGATTGAGATGTTATACAAAGAACTGAAGGGGGAGTGAGGATGTTGGTTTTACTCCAAGAGCTTTGAGCTCTAGGTGTAACTCCTGTCTAGAGGGCCTGTCAGTTCACTAACTGATGTAAATTTGAAGTAGATAAGCCAAGGCTAGGTGTTCTAGGCACTTCTAGTTGCATGAACTGTGAAGTTAGTATCGAGTCCATTCCTGAAAATTTAAAACCAAACTTAGTTATTTGACAGATTTATTGAGGATCTGAATGGAATTCTGAAGTACCTATGACATGCAAGCGTACTTGGTTAGTTTGTATATCTTGTTAATGTCTGCTAAGTTGTCACAAAGTTCTGTGTGGTGTTATTCACCCTAACAAAAAAAATCTCGTTAGTAGTTGGTCAGCATGTGACTACTTCACAGTCTCAGCCTCTTCTGTGAGATGAGGACTTAGAGTTGAGATGTCTAGTGGGATGCCAACATGAGCAGGCAGAGCCTCTTAACATCACCCTGCAGTGAGTCTTGGTTTTCAGAATGGCTGAGATCCTTGCTTGTCCTCACTTGGTATGTTACAGGGCATCCCTGAACAATTAAGCCACCTGCCTGTTAGCAAGATTTGATTGGATGTCAATCGCAGGTTGCTAAGTTTCACCACTTAAAAGGGTGATTTCAAGGATGGGTTCTATAGCTCTCACGCCTGTACCTCTGGCACTGGGAGGGCCACTCAGGATTGTTGTAGGCCAGAAGTTCAAAACCAGCCTGTGCAACATAGCATCTCTACAAAAAAAATAAGCCAGGCATGGTGGCATGCACCTCTAGTCCTAGCGGAGGGGGGAGGATTGCTTAAGGTCAGGAGTTTGCAGTGGCAGTGAGCTGTGATTAGGCCACTGCACTTCAGGCTGGGTGACCGCAAGACTTCTTAGAAAAGTGATTCAAGAACGTTTCATGGAGGTAGAAACAGTTTCTGGTTATAGATGTGTGTGTGCATGTGTATGTATGTATGTGTGCCATTTGAATTGATTCTAGCATTGAGCAGTTAGGAAAAAATTCTGAAGAAAACTTTACTGTAACTTTTCAACCTAAGACTTGTCATCTAATCTGTGGTCTCAACTTTTTTAGCAAAACCAATCAACTTCTATGTTGTCTTTTTTATGGTCATTAGAAAATGTGTTGCTATAAAAAGATGTGCTGTTCTTGGGCAACCCCCTCGGGTCCCCTCCCACAGTGGGAACTTTTCTCTCCTCTTAATAAATCCTGCTTTCTTTAAAAAAAAAAAAAAAAAACTTTTTAAAGGATGGATTGGAATTTTATATTTGTCTTGGGATGGACTGGATGTTCAACTTAAGATTATAGCAAAAAATAAAAAATACATCCTTGGTTTCTCCACCACTACTTTTATAAACTAAAAACGTGACCGTGATCTAGGTATCAAGGTAATCCTGAACATTATGAAGGTCCTAACTTGGTCTACACTTTCTTTTTTTTCCCCTCAGCAAGAATGAGCTTGAAATTGTGCTCCTTTTTTCTTTTCCTTTTTTTTTTTTTCCAGTTGGGGTCTCACTCTGTCACCCAGGCTGGAGTGTAGTGACATGCTCACGGCCACCATAGTCTCAGCCTGCTAGGTTCAGGCAATCCTCCCATGTCAGCCTCCCAAGCAGCTGGAATCGCAGGCATGTGCCACCACTCTCAGCTAATTTTTTGATTTTATTGTAGAAACAAGGTCTCATCAGGTTACCCAGGCTGGTCTCGAACTCGTAGTCTCAGGCAATCTTGCCTCCACCTCCCAAAGTGCTGGGATTACAAGTATGAACCACCACGCCTGGCGTGAGAATTGTGCTTTTTTTTTCCCCCCCAAAGCAGGATTTATTGAGAGGACAGAAAAGCTCCCAGAGTGGGACGGGACCTGAGGGGCTTGCCCAGAATTGTGCTCCTCTTAAGTAGCAGTTGAATCTCTGGTTTTGCCCTTCTGTCTGTACCCATTCAAAGAGGAACATTCATTTGGGGAGATGCAGCACACACTTGGAGGGCAATGAGACTGAAGTGTAGTTTGAAAAGCGTAGCCAACATAGTCTTGCCACTTAAAATCCAAAACTCTCAAATAACAAAAAAAAGGCCTAAGATTTTTTCTCAACAGCACAAATTAGAAAATGTTAAACCTAGCTAGGCTGGTTGGCTCAGCCTGTAATCCCGCGCTTTGAGAGGCTGAGGTGAGTGGATTGCCTGAGCTGGTGGGTTTGAGACCTGCCTGGGCAACTTGGCGAGACTTCATCTCTACGATAAATCAAAAAATCAGCCGGGCATGGTAGCACACGTCTGTAGTTCCAGCTACTTGGAAGGCTGAGACGGAAGGATCGCTGGAGCCCATCAGGTCGAGGCTGCGGTGGCCGGGAGTGGCCACTGCACTCCAGTCTGGGCGACAAAGTGTGAGACTCCAACTCAAAAAAAAAAAGTTAAACTTTACTGCAGATGAATTTTTCTGTTTACTGTTCCAATGGTTGTCTCCTTTTGAGAAACTGACCCAAAATGAATTCTCTTCAGACACAAAAAATGCATGTCTGTACAAATGTGGTTTCAGGGAATTGAGAGATTTCTTTGAAAGCTATCTGGAAGCCAGGCTCGGTGGCTCAGCCTGTAATCCCGTGCCTTTGGGAGGCTGAGGTGAGTGGATTGCCTGAGCCCACGGGTTCGAGACCAACCTGGGCAACGAGACCTCATCTCTACAATAAATCAAAAATTCAGCCGGGCATGGTAGCACATGCCTGTAATTCCGGCTACTTGGAAGGCTGAGGCAGAAGGATCGCCGGAGCCCAGCAGGTCGAGGCTGCGGTGGCCGGGAGCAGCCACTGCCCTCCAGTCTGGGCGACAGAGTGAGACTCCAACTCAAAAAAAAGAGAAAGCTCTCTGGTTTTAGAGGCTTTTGAAACTCTTAGTTTTTATGGTAACTGACTAAAACTCACCGAATTAGCTATCGATGGTGAGGTTTCATAAAGGGAATTTCTTCACATTTTCTCCACCTAGGTATGGGTGTTGACTGGTGAAACTCATCTCAGGTGATTATTTTATTAGTGAGAGACAGGGTCGTCTACCCCACAAGAGTTCCTACTGAAAACCTTAACCCACTAATTCTCAAATTGGGAGACTTAGCTCATCAGAAACACCAACTCTGATTACATTTCAGAGTTATTAAACGTCTATCAAATGCTTATAAAGCTGCTATCAGGTTCTCACAAGGCCTAAATTTGTAACATCTGTCACGGCTGGGAGTGACCTTTAAGCATTCAGATTGTTTCAGAATCTTTAACATGCTTGGTTTGTGAGTACTGAGATTAATAGCAAGGTAGAATTGTGTTAGAGTTGATCCATTCATGTTCCTCTGGTGAAGCTTAAGCCTGGATAACCTGCAACAACTACTTGTTCCTTTAAAAGATCTGTACTGTGAAGCTGACAAGAGTTTACCTTGATTGCTCTTGAACCACGAGACATCTAGGCAGCAAGTATTTCATAGATACTGCAAGCAAAAACAAAAGGTGAATGGGGCTATGTGTAGTGGCTCACTCCTGTAATCCCAGCACTATGAGAGGCCAAGGCAGGATTGCTTGAACCCAGGAGTTCAAAACCAGTCTGGGCAACATAGTGAGTCCTTGTTTCTACAACAAAAATAAAAATTAAAAAAATTAGACATAGTGGCATGTGTCTGTAATCTCAGCTACTCGGGAGACTGAGATAGAAGGATTGCCTGAGTTCAGGAGGTCAAGGCTACAGTAAGGTGTGATCAAGATGGGTGAGAGAGTGAGACCCCGATTCAAAAAGTTGTAAAAAATGATGACACTTTAAGCCATTAAGGGAAATTACAATGCGTGACAAAAGACAAAGCCATATCACTGATTAGAATGCAACAAAATTAGAAATTCAAGGAAAATAACAGCCATGAGGAAATCTATCCATGTTGAAATTAAATGCTTTATAAAAAGTATATGTAGGTTTTAAGCTGTATCCTGGTTTCAGAAATGTTAACATATGAAAAAGAGCGTCTTAGAAAAGATGACATACCAAACGTCTCTGGTGCTTAGAGACTATCTTTAGACTCATGGCTGCAATTATTTCTTTGCACACTTGTTAGGATCCCTGACATCAGTGACTTGAGGGACCCTCATCCAGACTTTACAGTTCAAGACTGAGTAGCATATTTAGGGGGACAAGAACAATGCTAAATATACTTACCTGTTCAGCTGGGCATGGTGGCTCACGCCTGCAATCCCAGCAATCTGGGAGGCCAACGTGGGACAATTGCTTGAGCCCAGGAATTCAAGACTTGCCTGGGCAACATAGCAAGACCTCGTCTTTACAAAAAATGAAAAAATTAGCCGGATGTAGTGACGTGTCTGTAGTCCCAGCTCCTCGGGAGGCTGAGGAGGGAGGATTGCTTAAGCCCAGGAGGTCAAGGCTGCTGTGAGCCATGATGGTGGTGATTGTGCCACTGCTCTCCAGCCTGGGCATCAGAGTGAGACTTCCACTCAAAAAAAAAAAAAAAAAGAAAACACCACTTCATTTCAAGTTCACTTAATTGTCATCCCCAAATCCTATAGTAGCTTTTATCTTTCCCCTTGCTTGGTGAGACATCTCACAGTTTCTCTGCCGCGTAGTCTCTTGTTGCAACAAGTCAGTAAACCTCCCCTTTGTGCAACTACAGATTTGTCCCTGATGGTCTTAGGTTGATTGGACCAGAAAAACACCATGGAGGTATGGCCAGGATCCTTGCTGTCAGGACCCAGAGTCCCTGACTTGGTGGCCGAACGCACATCCAGACGCCCCCCCCCCCCCCCGCCCCGTGTCCCTGATTACAGGGGGATTGCACTGAATCTGGCCTTTTTTTTCCTTTTTAATCTCTTTGGCCCTGCAGAGTCAGCAGGGAGAGCAAATTATCCTTGGGGTTAGGGTCCAAACTCACAAGTTTTT